CACATAAGAAATTGTGATATTGGAGAGGTGATACAAGGATATAGGATAGGCGAATAGCCCAGGACAGAAGGAAAGGTACCACAACTGTTTAGCAGGCATTTTATCTAAGGATCAACTTCATTTGTCTCTGACGAGTTGTTGCGAAAATTGGCAAGGCTCACTGATGATGACGGTGAAACTTCGCGGAATGTACCAAGTCCACCAAGTACCATTCCTCTAGATCTTTCTGTCAATATGACCAAGTTGCGAAAACAAGGTCAAACAACTTCTGCATAGATTTTGGTTTTAAAAGGTTGTCTTAGTGGACTTTCATTGTTGCGGATCTAAATTCCGCTATCCTTGGAATTGATTTTCTCAGGAAAATCGACTTTGCGTTGATCCAATCAACAACGGATTCGTGGATGCATTATTCACTTATTGGACCTATACCAAATCGGCTTCTTTGTACCGCTTGTGCAAAGTGTTTAAAACGGACAATTCAACCTGGAATGAGCTGCTGAGCAATTTCCCCTCCATAACCAAACCTTTTATTCATGGAGGTGCAAGTAATCACACAGTAATGCATCACATCGAGACCACCGGTCTTCCAGTCTTCCACCGACCTCGTCAAATGGCCCCGGACAAGCTGAAGGCAGCGAAATTTATATTCAATAGTCTAATAAATGGTGGTATTATTCGCCCATCAAAGCGTACATAAGCGACCCACTTCATTTGGTCCAAAGAAAGGTAGGAACGAGTGGAGGCCCTCTGGTTATTTCAGAAGGCTCACTGCTGTAACTGTTCCAGACAGATATATTTTACATTTTCAATCCTTCGTCACGAGTGTCCTCTCTATCTGCAGAGCATTTTCTAATGCATTAAAATAGCTCTCGCCGAAGCGACCAATTTGGCACATTCACATTCAGATGCTGATCTTCAACTCGTGACCGATGCCTCCGACCGGGCTGGGGTTGGTGCAATCAGATTGTTGATAGAGCTTCTCATCTTGCTTTCTTTTTTCGGAAATTCATACCAACAGAACAGAGATACAGCTTCTTTAGCCGTAAACTCTGTGGTGTATTCATCATTGAAATATTTCAGACATTTGCTAATTTGAAAACAATTTCACATTTTAATTGATCACAAACCTTTGTGTGGAGCCTTTAAGAGCGCTTCAGACAAGTATTCCCTTCGCGAATTTCGCCAAATGGATTACATCCCACAATTAACCTGCGATGTGCATCAAGTAAAAGGAGCAGTCAACATCCTAGCATACACCCTCTTTCGCATTTACATTGTTTCTGTTGTACATGATGCCAGAGTTGGTTATCAAGCCATGGCAGAAGTACAGGAATGTGAACGTAGTCAAATCGCCGCTCGCCAATTGCTCAGACTAATGATGACGCAGGTAAGGATGCCACAAGGTGCCAAGATCGGATGTGACATGTCTACGGGAAAACATCGTCCTTTCGTCCCTTCTGCCATGCGGAAATTGGTTTCGCAAGTCGTTCATGATTTGGCACATCCAGGCCTACTTGCGTCCAGTAAACTATATGAGATGTATTCGCCCTATTTCGTGAAGCACTGGTAGTCTTGAAATTCTACTAATGCACGAAAAATCAAGTAAACGAATCACAGGCCATTTCTTCTGGCCCGGAATGCAAACAGATATCGGCAAGTGGACTAAAGCTTGCCCAAAGTATGAAGACCAAGATGGTGTTGCCTTTTGTGTGGTCGCAGTCTCATTTCGTTGTATAGAAGTTGTTTGACCTTGTTTTCGCAACTGGGTCATATTGGTAGGAAGACTTAGAGGAATGCACCTATTCTGAGTCCTTTAATCAATCACCCAGATACAGGGGATGGACAAATTACGCCTCGAATATCACAGATAGGGGGGGGCAGGGGTCGAGTGAAATACATGTACCAGGGAGATAGCAGACGGATCCGGCGGGGCAAGAGGAAGACTGATAGGACTCAGAGAAGGACTACGTAACAATATGACAGACTCTGGTCAACATTCCCAGCACAAGGGGGAAGGGGGGGATAACGACAGTGTGGAGTGTCAACGGTTTTCATGAATGCCGCTCAAAGGAGCATACCACAATACATTAAAAATAAGCACAGTAAAAAATGGGGACAGGGAAGGCATGATAAGAGGATATAGGAAATGTGAATAGCCCAGGGCAGAAGGGGAGATATCACAACTGTTTAGCACACG